GAACTTAAGACACCTGGATCTACGTCAGAACTGGTGAGTAAATGCCATTTAGGTTTGTTAAGTTTGAGTCATCCTGTTCTGGAACCTTTTGAAGTTGATTATAACGATGATGATAACAATGGAGTTGCATGCAGGATTCCTCCTCTAAACAAAGAAAATCCAGAAAATTGCCGAGGAAGGAAAACAGCCTTATCGATGAAAGTTCTTCAAGCGAGTGTTTGTCTACCCACAGTGTGCAGGCTACATCTTTTAATAATGTTTCTGGTGGTGCAAAAACCGATAACTGAACAAAGAAAGAAGAGAATAACCTATTATTACTGTTTTCTGCATTTTTCCTAGTTAGCTCTTCTTCTTACACAGATCATCATCCTCTTATCTTTACTATGACTATGATATCGATGTCATGAATTCAAATATTTGGCAGTACACTGGTCAATGTCTAACACAAACATTTCTGTGCTCCTATGATCCTATCTACTCATGCAGCTGAGTATTAATTATGACTAATAACAATGAAAATAGATGCAATTTGCACCTGATATGGCTCACGCTGTGGAATGTTAATAAAGTTATGTTTTTGGCTAGTTAATAATATGAATTGTTGTTATTCTGAGTGAAGATACCTCTTTAGATTATCCCTTCACAGGTCTTCATAATTTTTTCAGACTTGCAAGGTTTAACCAAAGCTATATATATTTGGTGAGCAAGCAGATATTTTGCTCGACTGTACGTGCATGCTTGTGCTTTGAATATTATTGTCAAACTGTACTATGAAGGATCATCGTTCGATTGGAGTCATTGGACTGTCCCAGTTATGTTGTGTGAATGTTCATTTTTAGTAACTGCATATAATACAGGAACTGCAACTTGAGCTAGTTCTTTCTTTTGCTAAGGAATTTATCTGTAGCAAAAGGATCTCACAACTGACATTATGAGCTGTCTCTTTTTTACGGTATTTCAATCCCTTCTTTTTTGTCCATAAACATGTGAAGTGTCCCTTATGATACTTTATCTATTGGAATAGCGTATGTTAAATGGTATAATAGAGTTTATTTGTTTTAATTAACACTTCAGTGGTAGCCTGGTAGGATTGTCGTAAGCTACGGCATGCTGAAATTATATCATGTTTATAATTTATTAAAAAGTTGCCTGAAATATATGTAACATAGTGCATCCTCACTAATGGCATGGATATTTGTTTTCTTTACAAAATTTGGGCTTCTTCTAATGAATATGTTACATTCCGTTATACCTATTTGATAATGTCAATGTTGAGCCTTGTGACTACCTGTCCCTGTTCTACTTTCACCTTGACAAGGCCGCGATAGTAGTTTGCACGAGTCTTATATACATGTTTTGTCGCGCTTACATAGTTCTTCATAACATAAACTTTTGTCCATCGAGCTTAGGTGAGATTCTATAATGTGACATGCGCAATGTAATGCATTTATTTAACATGCATCAGAGTTTTCAATAGTGGATACAAATTGCTATCAACTCATTGAGTAGGATGTAATCCAACAATAAAGGTAGCTAGGGAAATTACACACTCAAATCACAGATGCCTCATGCCACAGCCACCTTAGTAATGTAGTTACCTTCTGTCCTCTTCTATATAAGCCATACATGGAAGTAATGGATCGGGTTTTCACGAGAAGAGTTTCCTAATGTAAAAAATGCTGGACGGGCCAGACTCTATGCTCGGTTTCCACCCCCACCTCGCCCCTCCCCTTGCTGGCCGTATTTGGCATTGTTATGTTCTTGTTGTCTTTGTTTCATTATAAAAGCTACAAGGATCAAATGTATCATGCTGCTATCAGTTTCAAATTATTCCTTCTCTTGGTGCCTGTTATACTGATCTTCTTTAAGCATTCGAACCTCACCAGTTTGATGTCCAACTTCTAGTCTTCACAACGTAGAAATGTAAGGCATGACCGGGCTCGTCGAATGGCAGGATTCCCCTGGGGCGTGGCCATTTTGGTGGTGGCGTTGCTAGTGATGACGTCGTACCAGTCGTTTAATTCCCAATGGTTTCCTCTATTGAGATAAGATTAGTTAAAACAGTGTAGTAACTTCTGTAACTACCCATCTGAAACATAAAATTTGTCGAGTGTGAACTGTTGAGGCGAGTCTAATGCAGTATAACAAAATTGTCATCAACTCATAATCGTTTTTGAGTAACAACCTTTATTTTTATAACGTGATGATCTTGTTGCATCAATGTAATTAAAACCGTCGTTTAACAGTTAATTTATTTTACAGCACTTTGAAAACCCGAATCAATTGCATCAATCCCTACTCGTTCAATTACACATATCCATCCATCAAAGTCCCAAAATTCAATTATCCAGTAATATTCCATGCTATGTCCAGTATCATGATGCATAAACATCATCATAACTAATCTATTATTGATCTGAAACAAACAAGATCAAATCCCCCGTGACTTAAAAACACTTTAACAAACGGTTAAAAGCTACTTTTAAGCACTGTCAAACTAACACACCGGTATTGCTCTAAAACAGGTACAATGCCATCATGCCCCCCACCCCTCAAAGCGTGCTTCTCCCAGATGACCTGTAATACATCATCTATTACCTGTCCTGAGGCAACCTGTACCGCCATCTAGGACTCTTCACAATAGATAGGCACCTATAATTAGTGAGCTTGGCCTGGGGGAGGGGGGTTCGACTCCTTAAGAAAGGGGGTAGACCCCCTTGATAAAATATTTTTTGAAAAACGAAAGTGTACCTTATTGGGAAGGATTTGAATTTTTGTTGAGGAAATCAGAATTACCTCTCCCCAATTCATAGAAGAGGGCTGTGGACTTGAGTGTAAATATTAAGGTCAGAGAATATACTTTTGACCTAGAGTAAAGGTTGCAATTATAATTCTTATGAAATCCCTAAAAATTCATGTACAATTCCTAAACATGTCAAAGAATATTTCAAATATTTTTTGAAGGGTATTACAGCTAAACACCAATGGTACCACACAACATTACCCTTTTATCTAGGGCTGTCCGTGAGAATTGAACCAATCCAAAACTTTTGAGTATTTAATAAATTGAACCGTCGGGTCCAAATATAATTATGGAACCGTTCGGGTTTGGTTCTGTTCGGTTCGGTTCTGTTCGGTTCCGTACCATAATTAAATTTTTTAATATTTACTACAACACTACATAAATACAATTAATGACATTTCATTCGTAATTTTTATAAATTAATGTAGCACAATTAAAAAACATATAAATAATTAGCTGTCCAATAAGATTAATTTTATCTTATTTGAAGGCTTTAAATTTAATGAGCAAATTCGAATAGTCATGTTGTCATGAGCAAATTAAAATGGGTTAATGAGCTTTAAAAATATTTGGGCTTTAAAATTAAAATTATGAAATAATCTGATTTATTTAATTAATTTGCTAATTTGTTTAGAAAAAAATAAAATAATTTAATTAATTCAATATAAAAAATAAAAAAATTTATTTAGTTTCGATTATCTGGTTCTTGGTCTAGGCCCGAGACCCGACCCAAACCCATCAGTTCTCGATTCGGGTACCCATTCGGGTATTTAACTTATGAAAAACCGCTCGATTCGATTCGATTCGGTACGGTTCGGTTCGAAACTTTTGAACACCCCTATTTTTATCCATAGCTAAACTTGTACCAAATTCTCAATTTTAAGTTTCACACTCGCAATTTTTTTGATCATGAATGGTATGGAGCCTCTCATCCAAGCAAATGGTGCAAATATCAAAAGCCATAATCAAATTTGTTCTCTATTAGATTACATCCGCATACGGCATAGTCAATAAAATATTAATATGACTACATAACTCTCTGGAGATCAATCAATTGAAAAATTTTAAAATTCTCGTACTTGAGGACATCTAGTCAAAAGCCAATTTAAAATGAAATCTCGTAAAAATACGTGTCAACAACGTTACCAAATTTTGTGAATAAGAATTATTTGTCCATGGACACCTAATTGGACCATTACTAATTTTTTTTTCCTCTTTTCTTGACAAAAATTACAAATACACATTTATTTGTCCTCTACATATAATTAGTTGATATGCACAGCCCTCCAAATCCCATATTTGTTTGTTGGCTCAACTCCCTAACCCTAAAGTACACTTGTTGTCTTTTCTTTCTTTTGCAAACTAAGCACTAAAATATATTAATGCTATAATTTTCAATTTATTGTTGTATAAAGAACAATATGGTGGTCACCAACCAATTCCACATACTCATTCTTTAGTGCCTTCTTTTGGATTCCAACTTAATCCATCTTTTTTGTCAATGCTAGAAAGTATATTTTCCTTATTTGTTATTTAATTTTCTTCTCTTTAATCTCGTTTATCATTAAATTTACGAAAAAAATCTAATAATTGAATTTGTACAAATACAACATACTACGCCAATATAGATCTAAGTCTCCTCCTTCAAGCATGTTTTTATTAAAATTCGTGTGAGAAACAATTATTTTACTTTACATAATTTCTACTCATAAATAATATGATGTGCGTTTGATAAGTATAATTTGAAACTAAGTTGTACGTTCTAAGGAATTCTGAAACTTTACAACGTTGTAAGAGGGCTAAACTCATTTTCTGTAAGTATGTTTTACTTTGTCGTCAATAGCATTCATATTTTTAATTAAAAAAGCATCTTTAAAAATACAAGATCAAAATAAATTTTACTTCTTTTTAGTTTATAATAAACATAGACATTTTAATTTATCAGAATCCTAATTCATAAGGAACAAGAAGTAATAAATGAAGGAAAAATAGAAAATTAAAAGAAAGGGGAAAAATGCCCAAAAGGCCCAAAAGAGTGTTCTAATAACTTATTGGACCCTTTTTCTTCAAATAGCCAAAATAGTATCCCCTCTCTCCCAATTGCCGTTAAATTTTTCCTCAAACTTTCAATCGCAGAAAAGCTCGGGGAAAAATATATACAATCTGTACATCTACACATACAAGAGAGGAGCAAAAGATGAGGCCACCGAGGAGGCCGATCCACGCAGTGTCGACATGGGTCCGGCGGCAGCCGCCGAAAGTGAAGGCTTTTCTGGCGGTCGTCAGCGGCATGGCGGCGCTGGTGCTTCTCCGTGTTATTGTTCACGATCATGACAACCTTTTTGTTGCCGCCGAGGCCGTTCACTCCATCGGAATTTCGGTTCTTATTTACAAGCTTATGAAGGAAAAAACCTGTGCTGGTACTATACCAATTTTTTATTTTTGTTGCGTTTATATGTTGTGGGTTGTTCTGTTTCTACATGGCTTTTTACTTTATGTTATTTTGCGCTGGTTGGTTGTAATTACTAGAGGGATGAGAAATTTTGGATGATTTTTGGAATGTGAGGAAAGATCTTCTCTTGGTAGTAAGAACCCTACATTAAAGAGAAAAATCAGTGAAATTATTTATTTCCTTTGATCTTATGGTTTTTTTAGCGTTTTCCTCTGATGGGATATCCATTTTTTGGTTAAATTTGGTTTATGTAAGAAAAGATTGGCTTTTTATCTGTCTTTTTCGTGGTTGTTATGTTTCTCCAGAACGGGAAATTTTGGGGGTTTTTTTTTTTTTGCTATGATTTTGTGTTAGTTGTTTGTAATTGATTATGGGAATGAAAACTTTGGGGGTTCTGTTTGGGGATAAGGAAAAATTCTTCTCTTGGTTGTGGGAAGTTTGCAGTGAAGGGAAGGTTTAATTAAATGATTTTTTTTTTATTTTTTTTATTTTGATATTTATGTTTCCTCACTTGGGGTTTTGAATTTTTTTGAAGTCAAATTTTGGTTATGCAAGGAAAGATTGGATTTTTATCGTCATCTGTTTGAAAGAATGTTTATTGATGTTTGTGCACTAGCCAATTGCCTGATTCTTGGGTTCTGGGAGTAAACAAAGATAAGCTTTTTACCAAAGTTGATGGTTTTCTCTTATTCCTCGGCTCTATGTTTTCAAAGAGAGTTCTCATCCTTTGCTTGAAGTTACATTTTATGGCTCTATATCCTTTCTTACAGTTTGAAATCTAATAGGGAATAATCTTTGGAATTATAATGAAGTGTTATCTGCCTTTGTGTATCTGTGTTTGTGTTGGGGGAGTAGTGACAGAACATATTAAAGACCCTCCCGTGGTCAGTTATTTGTCTGTAATTTATAGATTGCAGTCCCTTGCGAATTCATGAGGTTGCATAATACTAGGTCTTTGTTATTTTTGATGTGTATAATCGTCGGAATATGCTACTTGTACATAATGTGTTGTCCATAACGGTGTACACCTCTCATATAGAGGGGGACCCACTTCGGATATATTATATTTTATTCGAATTGGGTCCCCCTCCATGTGAGGGGATGAACACCGTTATGAACATCGCATTACGTACGTGTAGTATCACGTCGGGGTCCGGGGCTTTATTTGGAGATTGTATCTGTATCTGTTTGTGGATGTGGAATTAGTTTTCCACGTGCTTGACTAAAATGGTTATATACACAACTCTACTGTGGTGGGCGTACCTAGTTTTCAATTAGCATTGTACTGAGTTGGCTGTTTAATTGATAATTAGTTGGTACCTTTGAAAGTGACGAGCTGAATGTGAAATGAGAACATCATTTTTAGAGAAAAAGATATAAGTGAAGGTAAGCTTATGGTTAATAATCAGAAAACAGTTCCATTGATATTCGTGAACATTAGAATGAGAGCACAATTATAGCATGTTATTTGAAATTCTTCAAAGTTTACATGATTTTATTTGGTATATATGTATCAGATACCCATTCAATTACTAACGTACTTATTGTAAACTCCCCCTTGTATATCCGATTCATTCATTTAGTTACCTATGGATCATTATCTTTTGATCTCGTCTCACGTGAACTTGAACTTAATTAGTGAGATTTGCTTTTTCCTTGGCATCCTTCTCATTAGATAATGGCCAAATAGAGCCCAAGAATTTATACACGAACACTTGCTGGTTTCCACTTTCTCAGTTTACCTTATGTCTCTAGGTGGATAATACATGCTGATTCCTCCATTTTGTTTATTCCTTTGCAGGGCTTTCACTCAAATCCCAGGAGTTAACAGCATTGTTTTTGGCTGTTAGATTGTATTGCAGTTTTGTCATGGAATATGATATACACACGTTGCTTGACTTAGCTACTTTGGCTACAACCTTGTGGGTGATGTATATGATTCGTTTTAAACTGAGATCCAGTTACATGGAGGATAAAGACAATTTTGCTTGGTATTATGTGGTGAGTCTTCCATGGTATTTCTGCCATTTCTTTCTTCTTCTTTTCCTGCTTGGGTACACTGAGATTCATACATGCATTTGGATGAATATTTTAGATTGTTGATATAAGCTATATGGAATCTTCCCTGAAAATTTTGCATTCAGTTTTTAAAAAAGTGTGTTTTGGTCTCTATATCTGTGCAGGTCGTACCTTGTGTTGGTTTAGCTTTGCTAATTCATCCATCTACGTCACATCACATTGTCAATAGAATTGCCTGGGCTTTCTGTGTTTACCTGGAAGCTGTTTCCGTGCTACCTCAATTGCGCGTCATGCAAAACACAAAGGTAGAATTTTGTTGGCAACACGTAGAGCTGTCTGTACACGATAGACAGTTTTATTGTAAAGTAGTATGTTGCAGGTCTTGATGATATTTCTAATTTCTTGGTGACAGATTGTTGAACCTTTTACAGCTCATTATGTATTCGCATTGGGTGTTGCAAGGTTCTTGAGCTGTGCTCATTGGGTTCTCCAGGTTTGACTCACACTAACTTGTTTAAGCCTTTTAAGTTGACCGTTGCAGGCAAGTAGCATTTTTTATAATTAATTACTTTATAATCATCAATTACTTGCTTATGATTCTATATTATCAATATTGTTATGGCTTCTCCAATCCTTTTTAAATAGTATTATGATAATATTATATGTAAATATGTTTATATATCATATCGGAATTGTATCGACGGTGTCATGTTTGTTCAAACAATGGAGTCATTTTGTAAATTTGTTCGAAAATTGGTATTATAATTGGTTTGCTTGGATTGTACCTAAAATCAGGTGTTTCACAGGATTTCTTCTTGTTGCATTACATCGCCTATGAAACTTAGCAATAAAATTTCTTTGAGTATTAGGGCTGTGCTCACCAACCTTTCTCGTGGTTTGGTTATGGGTTTCCAACCTTCAAAAGTTAGGTTTTGGGTCCTAATCGTATTTAAATCCTTAAATGTGGATTCCCAAGTGATCGAAACCGTCAGTGTAGATGATAAAATCTCACACGACCTTCACTAGATTTGAAGCTGAAGGGAAAAAAACATCAAGCCACATATAACTGTGATGATCTTGTTCTAAGTCATGTGAAATTGTGCAATTTTAACGTTTACATTGACAATTATCATCACATTAGGATCCAGATGCACATATCTAAGTAGGTTAGGGATCCGAAACCTCATTTTTGAAAGTTGGGATCCATAACCATACCACATGATGGGTTGGAAGCCCAGCCCTAATTTTTCCAGTACTTTATTCTCTGAACTCAGGATTCACTCAAATAAGAAGTATCAAACTATATTTAATAATGTGGTCGAGTTTGCATAAATAGGAAAGATTATTAGCATGATTGGCTAAGCTTAAAAGTATTTACTATCAGTAAATAAATAAGTATTAATATGTACAATTTTTACGTGTCAAAGTTGAAAATTGCACTTAGGTAAGACTTTTGCAAAAAGTAGCCTTTTCACTTAGTAGTAGGTTCTCTCAACATGTTGGGAAACAAAAAAAAAAGGAATCTTTTTATTAAGCTTAGCCAAATGTGCTGGTATGTCTCTTGCACATGGACATAGATAATGGAAATTGATGATTTTTCATCATTGTCAATTTGCATTCGACAGGTTTTGGACAGTCGTGGTCATCTGCTTGTGGCACTGGGTTATGGTCTGTGGCCGTCAATGGTTCTTATATCAGAAATTGTTCAAACCTTCATCCTCGCAGACTTTTGTTATTATTATGTAAAAAGGTTTGTATAAATTCTTGTGCACCATTTTTATCATATAAGTATCATCTGTGAACTCATTGTTCCATTCTATTTTATTAAGTGCGGTTTCTAATTTGCAGTGTTTTCGGAGGACAGCTAGTGTTACGCCTTCCTTCTGGAGTGGTGTAATTAATAATGGTCGTTCGAGATTTCCTTTTTAAGTTATTTTTTGCAAACCACACAGCTTATCCTGGTCACTGGTTCTTCATCATAAAAATCTGGTAGATGGACTGCGAAAAGATAGCAAATACAAGAAACTTGGGTTTTTAAGTCAACCAGTTGATTTGCTAGAAATTAGAATGGCTGGATTGTATGAGTACGAAATTTGTTAATTTAGTGGATTTGAGTTGTGATTCTATCGACTCATGTAAGCACTTAAACTCGAATCAATGTTCATCGTTCTTTGTTTCTACTTGGTGTGTGGTTAACCTTGCTTATTAAACCCGGACTGGATCGGTCTGTTTGACCGGAAACTCGGTGAACCAGACCTGGGTCTGGTCCTGTCAGCTTAATAGGTCCAATGCAGAATTGAACCGTCATTGGCCTTCTAGAACTCACGGGGTTTTGCTCACCCGGTGAATTGTGAAGTAGTCAAGTGTGCCATTGTTAAATGGTTTAATATGTTTGGTTCATGTTAGTTATCGAACATCAGTTTGTCTCAAAATGGTCACCCAACTTGAGTGTTTGTTTCAGTTTGACAATTCTGTCCTTCATTTGACAATTCTGTCGTGTTCGTGATTAAAATTAACGACCCGTACTAGGTGTCTAACATAATGCGTGTTCAAGAAACAGATTAAGAACTGTAATCAACATATGCAGAGGAAAAAGTCCTGGAAATATGAACTTCTGTAATAATCCGAAGCAAGTAGCAACATATATTTTGTAGATTATTTTCCTTTTCAAGAAGATACTGTTATCAGACATCTTTTTCACAGGGTAAGATTCCTTGCAAGAATGCCCTCGAGTGTAATCCCAGGTCCAAAAGCCAGTATCAATCCCCACTCGTTTTGCCTCAATTCTTCCCTTTTTGCCTCTTCCAGCATGTACTCCAGCACATAAACAATTGTATTACTGCTTGCATTTCCATAATCAGCCAGTGCCCTTCTACTGGCATTCAATTTTTCAGGCAACAATTCTAACTTCTTTTCCAGCCTGTTAAGAATTGCAGGGCCCCCAGGATGAACTGCCCAAAACATTTTGTTATAGTCTTTTTCAGTGTAATGAGCAAATCCCATTAACTTGACACAGAATCCTTCAATATTATCCTCAATTATCTGTGGAAGTTCTCTTTCTAGTTTAAAACTTATACCCTCTTCGGTGAGTCTTCCATCGATTATTTTTTCGGTATTTGGGATGAAGTGTTGTATAGCAGTATGTAGTTCGAAAAGAGGCCTTTCGAGGTTTGGAAGAGGGGTCGAGCCGATTATCATGGCTCCTGCACCATCTCCGAAAAGTGCAACGCCGACTAAGTCATATGGTCTTTGGGTACTAGGTGGTTTGAATCCTATAATAGTAGTTTCTGAGGTAGCAAGCAGGACTCGACTCCCGGGATTGTTCTCAGCAATGTCTTTAGCAACTCGGAGGCCTGCCACCCCGCCTGAGCAGCCCGCGAAATAGATCATGGTTCTGTTAGTCTCCGGCCTTAGCCCGAGCCCTTTTGCCAAGTAAAGATCACCCCCCGGTAACCGGACTTCACTTGAGGAAACATATACTAAGTGTGTTATGTCTGAAATTGGCCTACCCCATTTCTTGATGCAAGATTGTGAGGCTTCGATTGCCATTTCTGTAACAGCTATATTGCAGATGTCTAATCGTTGTTTTACCGTTGGGAGTCCTTCAACGGCAAGCTCAGGGTACTTCTTTAGGATCTCCTCAGACATCACCACGTATCGTGTTTTTACTGTAGTTGATTTGCCTGAAAATCATGGAAAAAAAAGGATAATTACATATTATGTTAATATTATTAGTGATCTATATATATAGCATAAGAAATCTTCAAGATAAGAAATGAATGTTGATTGATTGGATTACAGAGTCGAGTGAGCTTGAGCTTAAGCTCTGGATCATCACAGTTGGTGTTCTTGAAATAACCATCAACCAAGAACTCTTGCATGACCAGCTGGTGAGGAAAGGCCTTTCCAAGAGCAAGAATTGTAGCTTTTCTGGGGTTAGCATTCCTCGCGGTCTCTTCCCTTCCCATGTTTTCTTCTCGAAAATGAGTTTTATGAGTTTGAAACTCCTTTTCCTTTGCAAAGTGATTTGCACAGGAATGCTCTTATATATACCAGCACCAAAGAGGATTCTTTAAATTAACTTAATGTTGCTTATAGTTTTATCATCACACACGACAAGATAGATTGTTGTGTTCAATTTATGTTGTAAATGGATTAGTTGTGGGGTGAGAAACTCATGAGCATTGTTTAGAAGGAGTTGGGTGAAGAGTTGGTTCAAGGATTTCAACGAAGTTCTCAATTTTCTGGTTTCATGCAGCAAATAATCTTTATTCCTGGCCATGCTGCCCAAGTTTGCCAGTTGGCAGGCATAAAGAGACTGCATAACAATTTCACTTGCATAAGCTAATCTTGACATTAGTGATTGCTGATTAGACAATGAGAGGCTAAGTGCAAACACATTTATAGGCCAGAAGAACAAGTGTATCAAAATGTGCCGAGCCACCGAGTCCTCAACCGTGCCAGTGGCCGGCCACCCCTGTAGTGGGGCCCTACTGCAGGGGCTCATGACGCTCAGGCCTATTATAAAAAAACTCAAAGTGGCGATTTGTGTAAAAACCCACAGGCCTGGCCTGATCTGTAGGTCGATCTTGTAGGTGAGCCCAGCTTGAGACTTTAACCGAGTTCTGGTTTCTCTGGTTTCATGATAATCTTGATTCCTGGCCGCGCTGCATGCAAATCCTTTTGAAAAGAAAGTGTAATGCCATTCAATTTCCACTTTTTCTATAGCAATTGGGAAGAGAATAGTAAAAAAAAATGGCTGTCAAGTTGTAAAAATCTGCTTTCTGATTGCATTTTCAGTAGACATAACCAAATATGAGCACATAATCATTTGCAAATATACTCCAATAATCAAACTAATGTAGAAGGCATAGCTAAGATCATTGGGATGAGCAAAAATTTAAGACCAACAACAAGAAGTATAAAGTCTATCGAACATCTTTTGGCAAGGCAACACTTATATATTGATACGCAGACAAATGACAATGTGATCAGTAACCTTCGTTACATCTTTGGTACACATTACCAAACGAGATAAGAAGGTTGAAAATAATTATAATTATTCAATGAGTTAATCAATCATAATATTCATCGTCCTCAGATATTGAAAAGGAAAACAATGATTAGAGTTAAAGTTCTGATAGATTCTTCCCATTGATGAAATCAACAACTCGAGTGGCTGCTTGATCAAGTGCAGCAGTGACTGCGACCAAATTTTCCAAAAATTCCTCGGATGTTGGCCTGTCACCATCAACTATATCGGTAACAGCTTTCAAAAATATTGCAGGTGTTTTCAAAAGATCTGCCACGTAAGCAACAGCAGCTCCCTGACACAATGATTTCAACAAGAAAAAAATGCGACAAAAGGTTAGAGAGATTTATTAGTCATAGCAACAGCTTGGTAATGCATAAAATTAAAACTGAGATTTAGCTCCAGTGTATTTTGACCAGTTCTATGTTTGTACGACACATTTTTTAATCCTGATCATGAAAAGTCCAAACGAAAAGAGGTATATGTGATATGCAAACTTCTCAGTTTGTCAATATTACCCATAACTGATTCTAACATATGCATTCAAAATTTTTCCACAAGACTCGTACGAAAATAAGACAGTTAATATTCTAAAACTTTTATAAGAAAAATGGTTAGGAAACAGATTATGTCAATGGCCAGCTTCTTATCCCTGTTGAAACACATCCATGTAAATTACAACAGGATAAATAAAGAGACTGCCACACTGAGGTTGAAAATAAATAGACAGCTGAATTGAGGTTGCTAAGATAGTACAAGTGACTTAACTACTGTGCATGTGAAGGACTAGAGCAGAGAACCATTTCTTTATATTAGTTCGGACATAAAAATAAGCTCACATATAGAAAATTACCTCCATGTCTTTCACAGTGGCATCATTTGCAATGATTGCTGTTTCATCATGTGGGCACATATCTAAAGAATCACCAGTGGACAGTTTGCCAATCTGAAACATACACAGATTATTAAAACTTGAAGCTCTATGAAGTTCCAAAAGACATGCCATAGAGCGTTATTATCATACAGATCGCACAAAATTCTGGATCCAGCCTCACAGAAATACAATTCATTATAACGAGACGTTCATGGACTTCTTTTGGAGTAAGAAGCATCTTGTTTTGTCAATTTCATATGAAAAAATGCGTCATCCTCGGAGAAGATTAAGGCAGAATACACGATATGTAGCGTGGTAATGATGAAAGTGTAATGAATGGAATGCAACAATGCTTGTTGAGAATGATTTAAAATCAAGGGATTTGAAAGCAATGCTTTAAAATCAACCCGGGCATTGACCTAGAAAAGGAAAAAGGTCAAAGGTCAAAAGATTGAACTGGAGTCGAACCGGGACCCGGTATTTTTTAAAAAATAAAAAAATCAATAAAAGAACATGAATTAAAATTAAATGGGCCAAAAGGCCCAAAATACTGTTATAATTTATTACAAATACATGGCCCACGTATGGAAGTGCAAACCCTGCCATGTAAAGTTTAAACACCCTGCTCATTGTTCACATCCAATAGAGCAATTTGTTCAAATTCCTACTAGCAGCTCGTCTTCTGAGTCTAATCTCTTATCACACATTCAAGTTTCCTATATACACAAATATATGTCCCTCCATATTAATGCATTTTATTTGGATTCAGTTGAGCTGCGGTGGGTATTGAATGACCGGAGAAATGGTAGGGGCAAAGCTTTCTTGTGTTCATCAACTCACTCTTCATTTTTTCCTTTTACAAAATTGACCCGCTAAACCTGCGAAAACCGTGACCGGTCCACCAGTTTCAGGTTGAACAGGGCGGTTATCGAATTTTACACCTTTTTTCTCATCCGGTTTTCCGGTTTTTACCATATGACTGGACAGAAATCCCATCCGGTTCCCGATTTTCCCAATCGAACCGGCCAGTCAGATCCGATTTTTAGAACATTGGTTGAAAGTGATGTGAGTGCCCAAAGTAACATGTGAAGGGGTAACATCATTATGGTTCAGATTCAAAGAAATTGTCCCCGACTGACAAATTATAGATACGTGGATGGATCTAATACCAATTGGCTTAAACTTTTAGTTCAATTTTGAACTCCAGTCTCTCCACTGTAGGCAAAGTCCTCAGGCTAATCCATGACACAAAAAATATGTGACTTCACTGATTGGATAAAATGATCGCTTTCAGCATCCAACATACATTAACTTGTAACATTTTCAAATATGATTTATCTTGAGTACCAGTAGAGAATTCAATAAATTCGAGCAAAAAGATTTGCTAACCTTCGCAACTAAATATTAAAGCACCAACGTGGCAATATAGAAAAGGAAAAGTAAGAACTAGAGTAGATGTTTATAGTGATTTTTGAATAGATGAATGTAGAGTGGTGACCTTTAAATTTAGTTCCATCACAAGATTGGGCGTTGAGCAAGCTTGTCGTGTGCCTACACCATACAGGTCAAATACCTGCATATTGAAAGAAGTCACAAGGAACAGATGTTATCCAAAAGCAACAGCAAGATTCACATTAATCTTAAAGCAAATGAGCTCGATATATGGTCCTAGACATAGCTAAACATTTTGGGTGCAGAAGACTACTGCTTCTAACAGATAGCAAATGAACTATAACATCAACAGTAAAGTGGAGGCAACTGGATAACAAAGAAGTTAAACTACAAAGAGCAGATCTTATACTCAAATACTTGTACATGCCGAGCATAATGCAACTGGACAAACTTCAGCAAACTGATCTATTCTAGCAAAGGTCTGTTGGACACCAGCAACACGAGGTATCCAATGTAAAGGATTAGCTAGGACATTCAACGACTTGCTCTATTGCTGGGACTTCCCAAATTTGAGATGATCGAATTCTCACTATTAGTAGTGCAACAGAGTCGAATGCATAGCACAATTGCCACTAAATTTCTACATGCATTTTCTAAGAATTAACAATATATTATATGTGGAAGCTTCAATTATTTCTAAAAAAAACATGGAAAAAAAAAGTAACATAGAAGTTAAATTGAAAGACGTGCTAGATAAAACATAAAACAACTTTCTCACAGTAACAGAAGAAATTTTACCAAATATTAGAATTCAAGCAGTCTAATATGTATATCACTTCATAAGCCAACCTAGTAAAGTGATCTATAAATAAATTCTCTACCAGGAAATTAGTGCATGCCACAACCTTAAAAGCAACCCTTCTTCAGTTTCATTACTACTAGGCTCCTATAAACAACAAATTGAGAACACAATAAAGTATGTTTTTCCCTATCATGTGTATATGTAACTACAAATTAAGCCTTGTTGTTTGTTCCCAATAAATTTGGTGTCAGTTTCGTATGTTGGCTAATCGTATCTGCCCCAGCCATGCACCAGGAAAAAACAAGTGAGGAAATATAAAGACAGAAAAACTTACAGGGACAGGAATTCTTCGGTCATGGAAAGCAATATCCGATGCAAGGTATACATCACCTATGCAAGCACCTTTTGCCTGGAAAAATCTAGATATCAATATAAGATATACATCAAAAGAGTGATTAAACACTCTTTGTAGTGTGTGACTTCGGTATCCTATATTTAAGATATGGCTACGAAACTTCTATATCAGCAATGTAATGCATAGATTCCATATAGTACAAGTCAAAGGAAGCCAGAACCTAAAAATTTGCGTAAGTGACATCACACACAAAGAAATAAATCAAATTCCTTACTGAAAACATGACATTGATTTTTGAGGAAGGAAGTTTTAACATTTTGGTCTCCAGATAAATACAGAATCAGACAGATAACAAAAGACAAAGGGAAATAGAAAGTACAAGTAAAAATAGAAAAAGAATAAGAAAATATATAAAGAAAAATGGTTAAAAGATTAAAAAAGGAAGGAACCAGGGAAAGTTTTATATATATATAAAAGGAACATAAAACAATCAGCAGAAGAGTCAACAAACGTCACATGCAAAAAGGAGGATGGAAGTATAAGCAATTACGATAAGGTCCAAAAGATAAATACATCAAAAATAAAAAATAAAAAACGAAATCCATCATAGCCGTATTCACAATACCTTGAAACCTCCAACAGTGCCTGCATTTATGATAAGGTCTGGTTGTAAAGCTTGAATAGAAGCATAAGTTAAAAGTGATGCAGACACTGTGCCTACGCTGTCAACACCTGATAAAGAAACAATTAAGAACACTGTGGTCGGAAATTCATTGTGGTGACTGACCAAGTAATAACAATAAAGCTCCTTAAACTGCTAAATGCATCACACTAGTCATAGTCCAGTTACAGAACTTAATGTGACTGCATACCTTCTTCCTCTACTAAAAATAATATATACTCAAGAATGATTAACCACTTTCAAAGAGAGATTCCTCCAATACCAATCCCCCTACCTACCCCACCTCTGGATGAAAAAATATTGAATGGCACAAGGATAAGATTTATTGATCACTCTTAACTACATGGTACTTAATTTCATTTAGTTTCAGAGCAAATATGTTCAAATGTTTTCAAAGAATCTTATCATCACAATAGGACCAAAATGATAACATATCTAGAAATAAGCAGATTAGGCTTTATGGTGAGCAGTGAGCACATATACTAGAGATTGAAAACAATTCACGGAACAAAATCAAAATCCATAACATTCCATCAAGAATTAAGGAGGAAAGAGAGAAAGAGAGAAATACCCAAAACTATGTCTTTTCCAGGGGAAACAATGTTGATATTCAGATCTTTATATTTTCCACTGTACCTCACCCACGGGACCCCCTTCGGAAACCTGCATCATTTTCACAAGATGATAAGAGATAAAAACAAACCATAAAAGGGAAACGGCCACTTGTAGAGTGGCTATAAGATAACAAAACACATTCTTTATTTATATTGATTCCAACAATTACCAAGAGCAAAAAAGTAAAAGACGAGACTTTATTGATATATGAAACCAATAAACGTATAGAATTCCAATTATCACTGCAGCAGGCTTTAACTATCCAAAGATTACCAGTACAAATTGTTTGAAACAGTCAGTCTCTACTACTTTTTCCCAAACCTCTTTTTTCTCAGTTTTTTGGTCGGATCTCAATGGAACTGCTATCCAATTCTAAATTATAAAACAAAATCAATTACTTATAAAACGGACATAAAAAAAAAAAAAAAGAAGGCCTACACAGAATTGGATTCTTCGGTGAGCTGGAACTTTTCCACTAGAGGTGAAGCCTCCGTCTTCATAGCTATTCACCATTTTCACACACACACACACACACAAAAATAAGTTTGCATATAAATACATACAAACAAACAAACACAAAAAAATATCAAAAAATATATAGAAAAATTGAGTACCGATAATAAAAACGACATTGGAGATTGGGCGTTGAGGTACAGATTCCTCTTTGACTTCAGCTTCTTTTCCATCTTGAGGAGGCGCCATTAATGGTGGAATCACGTTTACTTTTCCGTCAATTTCCGCTAACAGCCGGACCTTTTTTTCAATATTATACCTAAAACGTGCTTCTCTGTATTGTGTAATTAAGAAATATGGGGATATTTTTTTTATTGTTTATTAATGGTAGAATAGCCTTTTTAGTTTTCTTTGTTTAGCCTATATATAATTTTTTTGTATTTATGTTAAATTATCTTTTTGTATTCAACTGCATTATGTAGAATCAATGAAATCCTAGTCTCATCTTCCTTTTCTTTATTTCTTTGTATTGTTTAACATGATATCAAAATTAAGTTTCATGGGACATGACTTAATCTCAACCCTAGCCTCCTTTTTTTTTTCTTTTAAGAAAAGAGACAATTGCGAGAGGATTTTCTTTCAATTTCTGCAATTTGGTATTTTTTTTTTCATTACTTTTGCGATNTTAATACACAACTCCTTTACACTCAATTTTGACGAACTAACAAGAGATTTTTGAGAGCCTTCATATTAAGAAATCATTGAGTTTACTTAAGTTTTTATCCTATTCATTTATTATAAGAATCTTTTGTTTGTTTGAAAACTTATTCTACATCTATTTCATCAAAGATTCCACTTGTGCAAAGAAGCCTCCATTTCATCTATTCTCTCATTCTTGACTAAAGCTTTTATTTGCCAACACTTTTTTTTTAAGTGTAAATCACTCTCTATACTTAACTTTGAATTATTTGTTAAGAGAGATTCATCGGTTGAAAACTTTGGTACATTGATCCTCACTATTGCATTAGTTATCATTTATCAAATTTTTGCAACATAAAACACTTGAGCTTAAACATTTGCTATTTATTGAAGTGTTATCCTAAAATCTCTAAATACTTGACTTGATTATATCATTTGTTAAGAGAGTTCTTTCAATTGTAAATCATTTATATTTTGGTGGTTTCAAGAGCCTTATGAAAACTCGATTGTTGTTAAGGATAGGTGCTCCTTGTTGTAAGTTACCTAAGGATAAGTGCTCCTTGTTGTAAGCCACTTAGGGATCGGTACTCCTTGTTTGTAAGTTACCATTATAGTACATTTGGTCTTGCTCGTTACGGAGAGCTTGGTAACGGGGGACGTAGACAATTGCTTTGGATCGAACCTCCATAACGTATTGTTTACATTTTCTATCTCTTTTACTTAACGTATTTACTTCACGCAAATTTACATTATTCTATTTACGCGTGTACTTGTGTTTAGATTATTTGCATGTTCACTATATTAGAATCTTGAGTGATTAACGAAAGAGTTTCAAAAACCAATTCACCCCCCTCTTGGTTAGTTATTCTTGGGCTAACAATGGGATCAATGTGACTTTTGTTTACTTGTGTTCTTTCATAGTGATAATTTGCTATTGTCGTTTGTTTTAACTTTTAATGAAATGTGTAATCGTTTTTGTTTAATTATTTTTTATGAATATTTGATAGATTGTACTATTTTATTTTTCAAGTTTATTGACATTAGATGGCTATATTAATGTTATTTTGCATCAAAAAATTGGATGATTTTAATTTTTGTGCAATAAGTTTATCTCAAACCGACCAAACCAACCCTACCCGACCGACACATAATTGGATTGGGTTAGGTTTCAATATTTACATAGGTTGGGTTGGGTTGGATTTCGAAAAAATCTACAACGTTGGGTTAGGTTTGGGTTGAGGCAAAAATCGACCCGACCCAACCCGACCCAACCCAACCCACGCCTATCTCTAGGTTTGGGATCATCTGCAAAGGCTATTCACTCTGTCAAATTTTGCAAAATAGTATCAATTGAAGAATGACATACGAGCTCTTCAGTAGAAGAATATGAGTGTTCAGGAGTTTTATTATGCTATAACGTATCTTACAGAATCGGTAGAATTAAAGGTGTGTAGTGCCTATATTGCTCATAGAGAGTAGTAATGGTTGGTACAATTTCTAACGGCACTTCGCAATATTTTGAAGGACTTAGAGGTTCAATTTTGCATCGTTCTCCACTTCCTCCTGTTGACTCAGTTGTCAGTGAGTTCTTAGCTGAAGAAATACGTCTTAAGTCTTATTCTGAACAGGGAATTCTTTATACTTCTAATCCTTCTGAGTTAGCAGTGCCTTCAAAGCCACTCTCTAATAATCAGAATATGTTTCACGCAAGGACTGCCCCAGACGAACGCAGTTTCGGTAAGTAGAAAAGTCATTGGAAGGCTCAGTGTCCTAAGTTGAAACAGTATAATCGAACCATGTAACAATCTCAAGCTTGGAAGCCTGGCAATCAGTCATAATCGAATGCTCGTAGACCACCTCAGGGCTATAGACCACCACAATCCAATACTGCAACGGTAGTTTCATCAGGTCCTTTCACTGATCCTAATACTCTGGCTGAGCAATTTCATAAGTTTCTCTCCTTACGGACAAGCTATGTCCGGTTCTTCCTCCGTAGGTCATTTGCCTCACAGTTCTTCAGGTATGTCACATTCTGTGTGGGTCTTGGATCCTGTGCTTCACATCATATGTCTCCAGATTCTTCATCTTTTGCTTCCGTGTCTCATTCGTCTTCTATTCCTGTCATGACTGTTGATGGCACTCCTATGTCTTTAGCAGCTGTTGTTCTATTGTCACACCTCACTTGTCTCTCCCTAATGTTTATCATATTCCGAAACTCACATTAAATCTTGCTTATGTTGGTCAGTTATGTGATTCTGGCAATTTAGTCACATTTTCCTCTTCTTCTTGTTACATGCAAGATCTGCTGTCTCAGAAGCTTATTGGGACAAGCCATAGGAAGAAGGGGACTATATATTTTAGATGAGTTAAAAGTGTCAGTTGCTGCTGTTGCTACTAGTGTTGATTTGTCTTCTTTTCGTTTGAGTCATTCTTCTTTTATTTTTATTTATGGTAATCTCGCTTAGGTCATGTTTCGTCTTTTCGTTTGAGATTTTTGACTTCTACATGGGCATTAGGAAATTTGCGATCTTGTGATATTTCAGATTGTAGTGGTTGTAAATTGACAAAATTTTCAGTTTTACCTTTTAATCGAAGTATTTTTATTTCTTTATCTCCATTTGATTTGATTCATTCTGAAGTATAGGGGCCTTCTCCTGTTGCCACAAAGGAGGTCTCGATATTATGTTTCTTTTATTGATGATCATACTCATTATTCTTGGGTTTATTTAATGAAACATCGTTTTGAATTCTTTGAGATATACACAGTCTTTCTTACTCTTGTCAAAACTCAACATTCTGCTGTTATCAAATGTTTTAGGTGTGATTTGGGTGGGGAATACACTTCTAATAAATTTTCTGAGCTACTTGCCTTAGATGAAACTATTTACCAAACTTCGTATACAGATACTCCTGAGCAAAATGGTGTTGCTGAAAGAAAACATAGGCACATTGTTGAAACTGATCGCTCTCTCTCTCTTGTTGTATGCTTCTGTTCCTAGTGTGTTTTTAGGTGAAGCAGTTCTTACTGTTGTAGGTTTGATTAATATAATTTCATCTTCTCATATTTCAGATTTTTCTCCTTTCGAAAGGTTGTATGGGTATTCCCCTGATTATTCTTTCTTTAGAGTTTTTGGTTATACTTGTTTTGTTCTTCGTCTTTATGTAGAATGCAGCTAGTGTAATCTCGATCTTCTATTTATGTCTTTCTTGGTTATGGTGAAAGTAAAAAAGGTATCGTTGTTTTGATCTAATAACTCAGAAACTTTATGTGTCTCGTCATGTTGTCTTTCTCGAGCATATACCTTTCTTTTCTATTCCATCCATTACTCATAGTTTGACCAAATCCGATCTTATTCGTATAGATCGTTTTTCTAACAATTCTGATAGTTTATCATCTCAGGTTCCTAGCGCTTCAAATGCCCATTCTCATGTTCTTACTCTGTTATCTTTACAACCAATTTGTACTAATCATTCTGCATGTACTAACACTTTACTCTCCGGCACACCTAAAGATCACTCATCTCCTATGGTCCCTCAAGCTCTGTCTGAGACTGTGGATCCACATCTATGTCAATCTATATGTATTCGTAAGTCTACAAAGTTATCAGATGTTGCTTATTCTTGTTATTCTTCATCTTTTACTTCCTTTTTAGCTTATATTCATTGTCTCCCTGAGCCTTCTTCCTGTAAAGAGTCAATTCTTAATTCTCTTTGGCAGTAAGCTATGGATGAGGAACTTTCTACTTTGCATAAGACTGGTACATGAGATTTGGTTCCTCTACCTCCTCGTAAGATGATTGTTGGTTGTCGTTAAGTGTATAAGATCAAGACTAAGTCTGATGGATCAATTGAACGATACAAAGCTGGGTTGGTTGCAAAAGGGTACTCTCAACAATATGGAATGGATTATGAGGAGACATTTACTCATGTTGCAAAAATGACTACTACTCGTACTCTTATTGCAGGAGCTTCAGTTCGTCAGTGGCGTATGTCTCAACTTGATATTAAAAATGCCTTTTTGAATGGAAATCTTTGCGAAGAAGTTTATATTGCGCCCCCTCTTGGTGTTCCACATGATTCTGGGTATGTTTGCAAACTCAAGAAAGCGTTAAATGGTCTCAAAAAGTACCTCGTGCTTGATTTGAGAAATTTTCTATTGTGATCTATTCCCTTGGATTTGCTTCTAGTAGTCATGATTCTTCTCTTTCTGTTAAGTGCACTGATGCAGGTCTTATCATTCTATCTTTCTATGTTGATGACATGATTATTACTGGTTATGATATTGATGGTATTTCAGTTTTGAAGGTAGAGTTAGTTAGACAGTTGGAAATGAAGGATTTGGGTTCTCTACGATATTTCTTAGATATTGAGGTCGCCTGCTCACCCAGAGTTATCTTCTTTCTCAGTCGATATATGTTGCAGATATTCTTGAGCGGGCTCCACTTACTGATAATAAAACTATTGATACTCCCATTGAGTTTATCGCAAAGTATTCTTCTTCTGATGGTTTACCTTTATCAGATCCTACTTTATACCGTACTATTGTTGGG